GCTATCTCTGCTGGGGACATTTTGTTCTTGTTTAAAAGATATTCTGAAAGTTTTTTTCACTAAATGAATAATATATAACTTCAGGTCAGTGGCAATTTTTTGTTTTTTGTTTTTTGTTTTTCTTCTGGTACCAGGAATCAAACTTATGACCTTGCGCTTGCCAGGCAGGCACTTTGCCACTGAGCTAAATTCCCAGCCCCTATAAAGGAAGGTGAACTTGTTTACTGGGAATTGAACTCATGACCTTATGTTTGCCAGACCGGCACTTGCACCACTGAGCTATATCCCCAGCCCGTGGCAATTTTAATTTGCTACTTTAAGGATGTGTTTCTTTTACTTTTTGTCTTTTTTTTTTTTTTTTTGAGACAGGGTTGCAATATGCAGATCAGACTGGCCTTGAGCTCACTTTGTAGCCTGGGCTGGCCTGGAACTCCTGGTGATCCTCCTGCCTTCTGCTGGGATTACAGGTGTGCACCGCCAGGCCCGGCGAGGGTGTCATTTTCTGGTCTTCTCACTGGCCATTTCTGATGGTGTTTGTGGTATTTCTGATCATTGTTCCCTATCTTCTCTGGCTGTAAAGGTTTTGATCTCAGCTGTTTAGCAACTGAAGTATGACGTCCACTGGTGCAGTACACGTGTGAGTCTGTGGTATGTCTGTGTTTCCATCTCTGAGACTCTGATTATATAAAGTAGACTACTTGAAACTGTATTGCCGGTCACTGATGCTGGTGACCTTTACGTTGCTTTCTCTTGTGATTGAACTGGATGGTTTACATCACCGTGCGTTCAAGTTCGTTGATCTTTTTTCCTCTGGTGCCTAATTTACCACAAGTTTGACCAGTGAACTTTTATCCTGTGTATTGTGTTTTTCAGAGCTTTATTATCCATGTTGCTCCTTTCACATTGCCTATTTCTCTTCATCATGTTTATGTTTTCCTTTAACATGAGCATCATTATAATAACTTAAAAACTCTCGTATGCTAATTCTATTGTCAATGCTGGCTGCTTCCACTGTCTGATTATTCTCCTGAATATCAATCATATTCTATTGATTTTTGTTTTCTATATTTATTAATCTTTTATGCAATACTAAACCTTATAAATACTATGCTTTTTTTTTTTTTTTTTTTT